GAAGCAGACCCATTTCTTCTACCTCTTTTCCTGATAACTTGTTTTGGACAAAGAGCGAATTTAGAAACAGAAGCAGAAAGAGATACTCTTCGCAGCAGTTTAACCCACTTAAAATGAACATGGGAAGCAGCTCAGACCACTGATCTTTTTTCCAATAGGCATCGTCCAGAAATGAAGAAAATACAGAAATTTTGCCTAAAAAGATTAAAAACAGGTATGGGCAGCCAGTTTTATAGGTTAATCCTCCACCTATAAAGAGGGCAGCCTCTTTATAGGCATCTCTTAATAATACCATAAATAAATTCTCTTAGTAGACATTTTTCTGTTTTGCTGTTGCTCTGCAAAACTGCAATGTGTGTTAACAGACAGATCCCTCCTGTAACCTGGCTCAGATCAATGAAAGATGGGGATTTATTTTTATTTTGTGACATTACATTTAATTCCCAATAGACTTTGTGCTAAATATACATATGTAATTTAGGGGTTTACACTGACAGGAGATAAAGAAAGCCAAGTGTCCGTATTCCCAACACCATTATTTTTGTTTGCTGTGTTAATTCCTTTACCCTCATGTTTAGGGGAGCTCTTTTGGCAACTTAAGGTAGACACAAGTCATGTTGTGCCTCATTATTTCCATGCTGGGCTTAAATACTGACTGAAGAGAACTATTTGATTATTTTTTACTAACTGCTTTTATTCCTCTGGGCTGACTTCACTAAAGAAACAACAGCAAAAGACAAGCTCAAGCTTTCTCAAATAACTGTTTTCTCCTGTTGGTAACTGAGGAAGTCCAAAGGATATGGGATGCACTCTCTTTTCAGTGTTCCCTCTCTAAATGACAGATAACTTTTAGTCTGTATGCTAGGAGCACCCGGTGTTTAAGGAAATTGACTTTTCCTATACCTATGAGAAAAAAGAAGTCAAGACATCTAGGAGCAGGCCTCGGAAGTTCCCACTGTATAAGTTACTGTAGATCCAGTCTCTTAAGAAATTAATTTGTTTTACAAAGGGTGTTGTGTAATCATTTCACAGAAACATTTTCAATTACCCATGCAGCTAGTTGGATTTGAAGCGGCAGCATGAAGGTGAAAAGATCCTATTAATAAACCTACAAAGTAGGAAATTAAATGTACCTGGTTATGCTAAACCATGTAACATTGTGCAAGACTCAGTAAATATTATGGGAATTGAATTTCATAGAATCACAGAATTGTTGATGTTGAAAGGGTACATTCTGCCCCATCATCCAGATCATTAATGAAGATGTTGAAGAGGATTGGACCTTGCACTAACCCTTAGGGTAGATCACTAGTTGCTGGCCTTCAACTAGACCATGCCAATGATCAGCACCCTCTGGGCCTGGACAGTTTCCAATCCACTTCACGGTCTTCTCATCCAGCCCATCTTTCATTATTTTCTTTGTGAAAATCTAATGAGAGACAGTGTTGAAAGCCCTCCTGAAGACTAGGTAGATAATAACAACGGCACTTCCTTTGTCTACCAGGCCAGTCAATTCATCATAGAAGTTAATAAACTTCAGTCTTTGTCTAATGGAAACAGATTAGTCAAAAAGTGCTTACAGGCAAACACAGTCTTTTTCTGAATTAAGTCTTCAAGTGCAATGTGTGGAAGTAGCATCGTAGATAATGAAGATTATCATAAAATCTGCAGAAATAGAAGAATTTAATAGAACACCTTGTCTAATGTTTGACTGCATCCAGTATGTTTTCCCTTGTTGAATGGATATTAATGCATTGTAGAGGACAGAGACTGCACAGTGTGGAATGCCTAGATGAGTTAATGACTTAAGAAAAGCCATTAAAGCAATATTTATGCATTTTGACAGCTCATTTTTTTTCTGTTTGAAGAGTTCACTAAAATATTTTTTTAATCTAGGAATTTAAAATACTCCTTTTTGGAGTTACTCTTTCCTTTTTGAGCTTTCCAGAAGGATCTTGCTTGGGCAGTTGGGGCTTCTCCTCTTTTCCCATCCTCCTGCTTCTGGTATGGGAGTGACCATGAGATTTGGACACAGGTGGCATGACCATGCATGAGGTGCTACATCAAACCATGCACTAAGGCAGGATACAGGCAGCAGTTCAGGACTCTGAAAGTTGCTGTCAGTTTTGTACAAAGCGCGGAAAGAAGGTAACATTGCAAATGGTCCTCACTGGTGACAAAAGGAACAGATGTAAGTTTACTGGTGAAACAGAGCCTTTCTGGAATAATTGCATTGCACAAGTTTTTGGGGAAGTCAAAATATTTGAAATCATCAACAGGAGAATAATTTGTTTTGCAAAGGAAAGTGTTTAACAAGGTCACTAATCAAATGTGTTGATAGGGAATTTGACAATACCCTTTGCACTTCATTTGCATTATGATTCTTTGAGATTGCAGTAAGGTATATTCTGCTCCACCAGATCTAACTCATAATCTGATTAGACAACAGCATCAGGCATTTTTCTTATGCTTTCCTAATTTATTAATGTCTTGAGTTCAAATAGAGTCCCTGTGCCCTCATTAACACATCTAATTTGCCTCACCCCAACACTGGGAAATAGACTTACACAGTCTGTGATTAGAGCTAATGAGAGAAAATAACCTGGGACTTCATTACAGTCACTGTGCCAGACAAGGCTCTCAGTAAATAGAAGGCAAGGAGGCTCTTTGGGAAAGTGCCACCTTTAAGTAACAGGACACCAGAGGAAAAAGGTATTTCGGAAACTTTCTGAGCTGGGCCATGCACAAAGCTGGCTTATATTTTAGTTTATTAAGAACAAAGAAGACAGCCTTCTAGGGGTGGTTGAAGCACACCAGCAATCTGTATGTGGAAACATACAGATTTATTCTTCTGCAGAGAATAAATATTGGTGACACCTTGGCTAGACTGGCTTGCCCAGAGAGTTTTTCATTTGTACACTGAAAATTTCTTTTACTATTTCCCCTTACACTAAATGGATTATGATGGTCCTATCCAGCCCAATGTTTGGATGCCCTCTCTACTGGTTTTGGCTGGGAAAGGGTTAATTTTCTTTTTAGTAGTTTGTGTGGTGTTGTGGTTTGGATTTGTGATGCAAGCAGTGTTGATAACACACACACAATCCCCATTTAAGCTAAGACTGAGCAGTGCTTACACAGTATTAAGGTTTGAGTAGCCTGGGGGTGCACAGCAATTTGGGTTCAGTTTATCTGAACCCAGCTGACCAGAGAGATACTCCACACCATATGATGTGCTCAGCAATAAAAACCTTGGGTGAAGAAGGAGGAACTGGGGTGTTGGGAGTTATAGTGGTTTTTTTTTCCAAATAACTATTACACAAGGTGGAGCCTTGCTTTCCTCAAAATGGTTGAAAAACTGCTTTGTGGGTGGGAAGTAGTGATACGTTCCTTAATTTGCTTTACTTGCATGCATGGCTTTTGCTCTACCTATTAGACTGTTTATATCAGCAATTTTTCTCACTTCAGGAATGTGGCTATGGCTTCTATGGATTTATAAGAATTAGCTTTGCAGTAGGGTCCAGGCACTGTCTGCAGGGACATGCTCTATTTGAACTACAGTCTGTCCTGCAAGCAAGTTGGGATCCTACTCATTCATAAACTCCTCCTGCAACCAGAAAACAATGCCTGAGAGATACCACAGGTTATGAAAAGAAAATTACCAACTGCAAGCTCTACAGCTTGCAGCTGAAATTTCAGCTGTACAGCTGAAATTGTCTGGAAACACAGTAATATTTCCAGATTTTCAGGGAGATAGGGCTGTAAGGAATAAAGGGAAAGAAACAGCTTTGTTTACTTCCCGAAGGGACTACATTAACATGTGCTGATTTTACTATACTTTAAAATGCCTTAGATTGTATTTGTCATAGAGGATCTATCTTTCCTTCAATCTAAGTTATGACCAGACAAAAGGAGGTATCACCTGGCAGCACTTCTGAAATTGTTACTTCATGAGAGATCAAAGTGTGGAAGTGATCACATATTTTATTTCAGAAAGTAACACTGTGAGGGCAAGAATGTTAATTACAGCTGGGCCAGACTCACTGGAAATGAAGGAAGAAAATAATTACCTATTATTTATTAGAAAGAGATTTTTTAAAAATTTATCTTGCTTTATTTTTGTGAGATTAAGTATTAAAGCAGTCATGTTGTCATTAGCAAGGAAGCAGAGTAGAAGTGCTGATGTGGTGTACATTTCATTGTTCCTTTTTATGCCATTTTTAAGAGGGCAAACTTTACAAAATGGCAATGAAACAGTAATATACACAATTTCAGATCCTGATACTTTGCCCTGCTGAAATGTATAATCACTCAATTTTTAATCTTTTCAGCATAGAGTGCTTCAGTACTCCATAAAGTACAGAAAACAAAGACAAGATACAAATATGATGCACTTTTACAAGGAACACGAATGGAGGACATTCTGCTGAGTGTAGCTCTTACTTCAGTATAGAGTCATCAATTTCTCTCCATGGTCTCTTAGATACTGATCATTTCCTACCCACTCCCAGTACTGTTCCTTCATGATTCAGCTGAGTTCAACCACAGGATTTCTTCACAGTTCTCTATATGCTTTCCTCGAAAGCTCTTACAGCATTGCATGAGACAAAATAACAACACGCCCAAGCTAAAAAAATGTTCTCTAAGATGCAACTTAGCAAATAATGTTTTACATCTAAACATTCATTAGATAGACATCATTTTCTGGCATTCTCAGGTGCAATGCAGCTTTTTTGCAATTGCTTTTCACTTCAAACTTCATATATTTTCTTGTCTTTGATCTTGTTAAACACGCTTTTGATCTCATTAAGCAGCAAAGCCTTTAAGTGGCAAACTCATAAGTGACAAGTACTAGCTGAAATGGAAACAGAAAGAGCAACACAACCTTTCTCTGTCTCACCTTCCCTCCATGAACTGTACGGGTATGGCTGGTTATTGGCCTGCTCTGCACACATATGGAAAGGGAAGGACAAAACTTAGAGAGCTTTGGGTTATTAGCCAAAGATGCCAAGAAATCCAGAGGAAAAGGTTTCTCTGCTCTTTCTAGAGGAGAGCACAAATGAACACAAATATTGTAATATAAACATACCTTGTTCAAGAAATTAACCTGTTGCATCAAAATATTTTTTTAATTATGAAGATTTTAATTATGGGATATAAACTGCTATAAGTTTTTTTAAATGCAACTCTTGCTCTTCTGTGCATTGCAAATAAATAGATACAATCAAAACACCACATGTGAAATCTAATCTGGAATGAAAGAATACATAAAGCACAATGGTTGCTTATCTGCTTAAACTACATTTTGTAAATAGGCAAAAAAATTTTGGAAGGAATTTCCTTCCTTCACAGCTCTTATATCTGGGAGTTCAGCCTCCAGGCAAAAGTTCAAAGCATGAATCCAACTGTTTAAAGCATGTTAGTCTGAGAACAAATGAGTCCTGGAAGAGTCCTGTTGAAAAACTTTTCCAAACAGAATAATCTTCAATGCCCTGCGAAACCACATGTAAAAAAATGCATAAACAATTGGGTTAAGAGTAGAATTTAAATAGCCAAACCAAACCAAGGCATCAATGAGAACAGGAGGTATCACGTAATTCATAAATGGATTGGTAGCTGTAAAGAAGAAGAATGGAGTCCAGCAGATGAGAAATGCTCCCATTATGATGCCTAAAGTCTTAGCAGCTTTCCTTTCTCTGCAGAATGAAATGTGGTGCTTCATTTCAAATTGCATTTTTTTTCTGCTAATTGCATTGATGGATCTTGCCTGCTTTTTGGCTACAGAGTATATTTTCCTATAGATGTACAGCATAACAAACCCAGGGATGTAAAAAGACACTATGGAGGCCACAATTCCTGAAGTTTCACTAAAAATGAGAAAGCATCCTCCTGCACAGTAGACATGATTATAAATCTTTTCTGCCCCTTTCAAGTTTAGGTCTAGAAAAATCATCCCAAAAGCAAAAGCAGCAGGGACCATCCAGCTTATACATACCATGACCACGATGACAAAAGTATTTATCTTTGATTTGTATCTTAAAGGGTCACACACAGCATAGTAGCGGTCTATGGATATGAAGGAAAGATGGAAGATAGAAGCTGTGCTCAGCATAATGTCCATGCTCGAGTGGATCTTGCAGAAGAACTCCCCAAAATACCAGCAGTGCTCAACAGAGCGTACCATACTGCAAGGCATGATGAAGAATCCCAGCAGGAAGTCTACCATAGCCATTGAAAGTATCAGGAAATTTGTCGGCGTGTGAAGCTGCTTGAAATGTGATATTGAGATGATAACTGTCAGATTTCCAACCACTGTGGCCAGAATAATGCAAACCATGAAGATGTACATGGAGATACGGATGCTGTTTGACCAGGTGCTCCTTATGCAAGAGCTATTTACAGATTCACAGCACAATTGCATCCTTACTGGGGTCTCAAATCCACGTAGCTATGTAGCCCACGTACTGTTTTTCCCAATTCTAAGGTATGTTTATGACTGATTTTCCACTTTCTAGATGGGAAGAGCTGCAGAGAGGAAAACAAAAGAGCATTGTAAACACCTTCATTTGGTTGGATGTGCAGGAAATTCACATTTCATTATTTATGAAGGATGAAAGTATTTTGTAATTACGTTTAGCAAAATGACACTTTTATCATCTGACTTCCCTGAAAATGGGAATCCCCTTTGATAAAATAAACTGCATAATGGGTTGTCCTCACACCAGGACAGCAGTGACTCTGAGAGGCCTGCACGGGGCAGTGCCTTGTCAGTGGGCAGATGAAATATTCAATATTTCAATATTTCAATATTTCAATATTTCCTGTTTCTGTTTTCAGTTCTAGTCTTCATCTATATTAGCTGGAGTACTCTATCTCCACTTTGCTCTTGAAATTCAGTAATTTTAAATTCTGAAGCTCCCTCAACTTCTTTTTGGATACAGAAATCTAAAACCTATGAGTCTAAATCTAAAACAGAAGGGCTAAAGCTGAAGAATCCATGCGTGACCTCTCCTCCAGCCCTGCTCTGATAGTGATGACTGGACAGATCAAGTTTTACTGGAAGATCCTTGCAGGCTCTAGCTGTAAATAGAGATGCGAGAAAAAGATCTCAGAAAAGAAAAAAAAAATTCTGCCCTTTTGCTGACAAAATAAAATGGAAGAATCTGACTAATCTAAAACGTTATCTGCTGTATAAGCAAATGGTTTTTTTCTGTTGAGCTCTAGTTTTTTTTTCAGGAGTATAGCATTACTATGAGTATTTACTATATTTGTCTGGTTTTTTGGCTAAGGCACAATCATGGAGAGAAGCATTCTCAGAACATAGGTTTAGTTTGCATCCAAGGACACAAACACCGCTGTCCTCTTGTGTAGGCAGTAGCATGTCCCTCTTGCAAGTTGCTCTTTTTAAGAAAACTTTTAATGACAGTACTTTATGCACTTGGCAAGCAATATTTATTTTTGAAAAATCTTTCTTTTAAATAACAGAAACATAGTGTTATTATGAAAAAATAGAGATCATTAGCATATGTTGTTCAGTACCACTATCATTATGGTATGAAATGGTTGTCAGAAAAATACTGACATGGCAATTCAGCCAGTACTGATTTAACCCACTTGCTTTGGGATTTAGCTGCCTCTGGTTATTCTGGATAGAACACAATTTAAAAAATAATTTCTTTCCCATACTAAACCAAATGTAATTACAAGCCCACCATGGCACTGGAAACTGAATGAACATAGACAAAGAACTATGGCTAGCAAAACCTTGACAGCTGCAACTAGCAACCAGCCTATGTTATACAGAGGGATTTTGCAAGTAGGGCCAGACAGGGGCACCCAAGTGCCAGGGACAAGGTTCACCCAAAGTCACTGTCAAGAGTGGGGAACATACAGAGTGTGAGTATATTTATGTACTGTTTGGGGTGTTTTTCACTTCCCCTTTTTTCTGCCTACTAATATTTAACACCATCTCTGCTCTGTTTCACCTCATTTTAATTATCACTTCATATACCTTTTCTTTCCATTTTTGTCAGTCTCTTCATGTTTCTTTTCCTGCCTGTCATTCCTTCTTTCAGCACGTTTGTACCTGAGGCCAGATGACTATTTACTAACTCAAATATTCAATTTTCACAGTAGAAAGACTTAAACACCAATTTAAAGGTATCTACTGGGCATCATTGTAAATGTGTCACACAGATTTTGAACTTCATTTGTTCTGTATTAAAGTATAAATAAATTAAATTATTGTATTAAAACAGTCTATGAAGTCAAAAAAAAAAATTAACATGCTATCTCTAATTTTCCTTAAGATTTAAAATATTAATAACTTCCCTCTGTTTTCTGATAGATCAACTGTTTAGCCTTAAAGAAATATGATCTGCCCTGAAAACAGGTTTTCTTAAATAAAAAAAAAAAAAAAATCAGGAGTTTTTTTTTTAAATAAAAGAAAGTAGAAACTCCAGCCAAAGGACAGAAAAAACTGAGATCAAGTGTGTGGCTTTGCATTACATGGAAAATAAATAAATCATAACACATGTGGCAAACTGTTCAGGTGAGCTGAACTCTGAAGAAGTTTTGAAGAAGAAAGCATAATATTTTCCTTCCATATATAGTCACAAAGGTTAAAATTAATAAAATGGAAATACAAAGAAGCATACTTTTGAAAACCTCTTCTCTTACCTTTGTCACTTCATTCTGGGTAGAAGTCTGCTCCTGACACTCATTTGTTTTCTACTGTTTGAGTGGCACTTCTTCCTTTTAAAGACCATCTCAGAAGGCAGCTGATCCTCTTCACCACCATTACAGTTCTGGGTAACACAAATTTTGAGAGAACAGGCTTTTAATCCACAGCTGGAGGAGCTCCAGAAGCTCCCGCGTGTTACTGGGGCATGCTGGTGTGATGGACAGCATTCTGGGCTGTTTGACTCAGTGGCAGCTGTTGGTGTGAATAGTAGCTCAAACTGTTTATTTTGTCATCCACATAGAGAATAAAATAGTGGCTGGAGCTCCCATACTGGCTTAATGGGCCTTATCTATAGGTAAATTGAATTGATTTTAAGTACTTGTTTGATTTAAGTAAACTTAAGTTTACTTGTTTGATTAAATGTTACAGTCATATTGTGAGTGGCCCAGTATTATCTAAGCAAAGAACAAAAGACACCATGTAGTCTACCTCCCGTAAGCTTTTAAAATATAGCAAAATACATAAGTATAGGTTGGTTACAGCAGCATGTAAGATTTCCTTGGAAAGGTATAATGTAGACAGAGTGACATGTTGTGTATCTACCAGCCTAGTCATTATTACTGAACAAACAGGTTTAATCTATCTATCTGTTAGCTCACCGGCTAACAGCTATTTGCAAGATATAACTATTGAAAAAGTGTTTTAAATAAACACCTTCTATTGGCTGTACCAGAGTCACAGATGAGAAGCATCAATTTTTTGCTCCACAAAGGACCATGTAGCCTTTTAAAACAGTGATACTGCTAAATGTAAAAAAGCGTTACTGTGATGACCATCAGGTAAAGCCCAGCTAAGCTGGGTGCCTCGAGGGCATATGCAACAAGGTGGGTTAAGATACTATTGCAAATTCTTCTGATGACCTGGGTTAGCTACTTCATTATGTTGTGTGCACAAAAAACAAAATGGGTGCATACAACTCAGATCTTTTATTAATTTTTTTTTTTTTTGAGGCTGCTCTCATATACGGACTGAGGTTTTGCACTACAAGATTCTCTTTGCTGTAAAAAGAGAGTTTGACAACTAAAAAAGTGCAGAAACAATGATCAGGCTAAGAGAGAAATCACTGGAGAGTGTTGAGAGGATATGTTTAGGAGAAGAGTCAGGTCCAATTCTTCAGAGCTGGTGAAAAGTGGAAAAGACATATTAGGTCCCAAATACTGGTCTGTGAAAGAGGCCTTCACCCTCCTGAGATGCACAGAGCCAGGCACTTCTCTTTGAGGAGTGAAGGTTTAAGCTTTGGTAACTACTGTCTTGACACATAAGCATTTTACAGGAAGGTAAAATTTAGGGGAACAAACCCATGTTACATTACCCTGTACAACTCGTTGTCATAAACAAGTCTGGCAGCCAGCTCATTAGGGGCACTCAGTCCAAGGCCATCCATGCATGCACACAGGGGCTATCCTTCCATGCTCCACACTCTTGAGTAACACAGGGCACAAACTCAAGGGCATTTTCTGGAGTGGCAGCTCTGCTTCAAGTGCTTGTTCCAGAGGCAGCAACCTGCAAAGCTCTGGGGGAACCCCTGGGGCTGGGGTTCCCCTGCCCTGAGCAGGTGTGCCCTGCTGCAGAGGGGCAGGCAGCCAGCCATGGAGGGTGGGTTTTGCTTTGTTTGCTCTGTGCCCAGGCTCTGTGTCTGGTCAGGGAGCGCTTCCCTCCATCTCCTGGCTTGCAATAAAGTTGCACCGCAAGACGCACACACATCGGAAAGGAGTGAACCACAGATCTAGGGGGAGCTGTGAGCATGGGAATGGTGGCATTTAACGGTGTTTTGGCTGAAATGAACGTAAAACAAGAGGTTTTGATATAGCAAGATAATTAAGTAATTAATCAGGCCAAATTGTCAACTAATTTAGAGTGAGAAGGAACACAGTGGTAACAATCTTTCACTCTGTTGGTGTAGATGCTTCAAACAGGCATTTTCTTGTGCCTTAATGCTGATATGGAAAAAATATTCCAAATATTTATGTCATTAAAATATTCTCAGACTTGCTCCTTAAAATATCAAAGAGAAGCATGCCAAACTCTATTTTTATGAGAACTCAAAGCACTTACCAAATTGTCAGTGTTTAGCAATCTTTTGAATCTGTAGTATAGTAAAGCAGTTATACATCAAAATTCAAATGAAAAACTTTTGTACAAAATTGTTGCTGTGTTTTTTTTTTCCTAAATAAAATTATATTTCTGCAATAATTAGTTTTCATAGTTTTGGAAAACAAAAAAAAGAGAGATGTCACAATGTCTAGAATACTGTGGATCATCTACTCTCCTTGTTTGTTTGTCTTTAAAACATAAAGCAATAAAAATGGAAAACAGCACAGAAGGGAATGGAAATAACACTTTTTCAGACATAAAAACTATTCGAAAAATGTGTTGAAAATTATCATGCCCTTTTTACACAAAACTGTGGAAGGGACACTGGAAGTGGGAAAGAACAGAAAAGGACTTGAGAATGAAAATTATTACTGTGAAAAAAAATGTCAGGAGAGCACTGGTTTCTACTGTGATTCATTTAGCTTGCATTTCTGTGGGTATTGTTGGGTCAATCAGCGGAAAGTTTCTCATTTTCACACAATTAATTTTTAAAACTGTTTCTCTGTTAGGGGAACCATGGAGGCAGTAAGGTGACCCTATGGCTGAAGAGGAGTTTTGAATAGTGTATAGCTCCACTTATCTTGTATGCATTTCTCAGAAGAAAAAAAAACAAAAGAGCACAATATTAAAAAAAAAATTCCCAATAAGCTAGTAGTACAAAATAATTATTTCTTTATAGGGGTTAAACAAGAAGATCTGGCAACTACTAATCTGAATGCTACTTCTGCAAACGTGGTGCAGTTCCACTCAAGACAGTCTGAAATTAGCCCAGATTTGTACCAGAGGAATTTGGAGAATAGATGAGATGATTGAGCTGTAAACCTTTCCCACGGTTTCTATTCCTAGTTTTCAGTAGAAAATATAATTTTTCCTTGCCAAGTAAAGCCAGCTGTTTATACAGAGAAATGCAATGTTTGTACTCTTTCTGCAAGTATAGTACTTAGGCTAAGGACTATAAATCCAAACTCCAACATGAATACAAATCTCTGAAATGCACAGAGGAGTAAGAGATTCCAAGAAAATAATGTTTTAATGGCAAAGCAAAACATATCTATCCAAAGCCAAAAAATTATCTCCACACAGGGTGAAGGATTCTACATATTTGGTAGTCTCAGTAAGTAGTGCCATAAAGTGGTCCAGTGCCTTCATTCTGCAGCAAAAGCTTCTCTCAGGGCTCCTGAGGGCAGGAGCAGCCCCTTGCCTCTCACTCCAGCAGGGCAAGGGAATCTTTGCAGCTGCTGCACAGAGCAGAGGCACAGCAGGGCAGGTCCCTTGTGCCTTGCCAGTGCTTCTTTGCACCCATCAATCCAACAGGAATGAACTGCAGTTACTGACTGTAACTGCTTTGTTGATATTGGTTGGCTTCTGAACACCACCTCCAAAAAGAAGGCAAACACAGAGGAGAGAGGCACTGAACAGTGAAAAGGTACGATCCCATTCTGCATCCTTATGGCCCTCTAATAACTTCACAGAAAGGAAAGAACCTTACTCTGAATTCATAGCTGTGTGTGAAAAGAGCTTTGCCCTAGCTATGTTTCTCTTTCAGCCATTGGGAATGAGCAGCTTTTAAAATCATACTTTAAATCATACTTACTGCTGTTGGTGCTATTGCTGTTCGCTACAGAAAGAACTGTGCAGAATAACAACCATTATCTTCAGTGCTAACACTAGGAGATTAATCTTTGAGAGAAAATTAGATCCCAGACTAGCAAATCAGCTGCTCACCATATTTCAGACTGCACGACTCGGAGATGATACGGCACAGGAGTCACTTCCTCATCACCAGCCGGCGCAGGCTGCAGATACAGCATGGAACTGACTCATCCCACACCAATTCTCCCAGCTAAGTGGCTGCATGCTTGGTCTGACTGGTTCACAGCCTGCTGGGAAAATCTCATCAACAGGATGACGTAAATCTTAAATATCCAGAAAAGATAAGCATGTAATAGTGGCTTGTGCCATTAGTGTATGCAAAGATGAAACAATTTGGAGTAAGCTAAAGCCAGGCTTCTTTCATGAAAAGAAACATGCAAAGTGAAGGAAATGTTTGTTGTGGTCAAGGAATAGATGGAGCTAATAGCACTGAACTGTTTTTAAGATCATCCAATATTTCACTTACTCATTTCAGTTTTGTGTAATGTTGACAAATTTTAACACTTTCAGTTATCTTTAAAAATTTGATTTGCCTATCCCAGAGTGGATATTTCCCAAAAGCTCAAAGCACAATACTTTGACAGTGTCTGACGACAAGACTGATTAAAAGACATTGTTTTCTTTTAAAGAAAAATTTTACTAGCTGCTTATTTATGATGCTCAGGTGTTTATATGATGTGCTTTGTAGCAGGGACTTAAGAGCTTTCCTATTTATATACTTTTACCATACCAGAGAACTATACCTGCAGCTCAATGACAGCATCCCCCATCCTCAAACAATAGTTTGTGTATTGCTGTGGAACCCAAGAAGGAGCATCCTTCCAGGAAAAAAAAGTAACTCCAGAGAAAAGAACTGACCCACTTTGGGTCGGTTTGTGTGTGTCATTCGGTGGGCTTCATTGGTGGAGAGCCAGGCCTTTCAGCTCCTGCTCCCCAGAGGTTTCTCTGAGCCTGTAGCAGGACCTGTGGGGCTCAGGCTGCTACTTCTCCCCTGAGTATTTGGGGTTGGGATAAGCTTGGAACTTAGGAAATTATGATACTGGTAAGGTGGCACAAAGGACATGAGGCTGAACAAGAAGAACAACTCATGGTGAAATGAAAGTCTTGAAATGTCACATTGTGGTCTGGAAGTGTGACTACTCTACTGGAAGCCACTGAGCACTAAAATTGCTAATAAAGACTTACATGTCAATAAATTATATCTTCTAGCTTGTCTTCTCATGGACTGTTCTCTATTCCTTTCACAAATGCTTGATTTGACTACAGTAGACACATGCTATTTTCCCAGAAATACTGAATCTGACTGTTTCTGGTAGTCCTTTTGCAACCCAACAGGCTGCAGATGCCAGTGCTAATGCACTGTGGGCCATTTTTTAAGGGGGCAACCCACCTTCTGCAGCCATTTCTTGCTGTAGGAAGCAGCGATGCTGTGCATGAACACCGGTGGTATCATGACACTGCAGAAACAGCAACACAATTAGTGCAGAAATTACCAGTGCCAGAGGCTGTGTCCTTTCTTGCTGGACCTTTGCTCAGGAAGGCATGCCTGGGCAGCCCATTTTTTCACCAGAAAAGCTTTAATTATCTTTTCAGTAGGTGCTATATATCAATTGAATACCAGGTCACTGAAGAAGAGGTAAGGGTGCACTGAAGTAGAATTGAACTTTATTTATGACTTGTTATCGAGTCCTTACTAACTGGCTAGCTCCTGCCAATACACAAGACACTTAGAGGGAACAGGTGGCAGCAGGAGGTTCAGCTGTTTAAATGTTCCTCTACCATCTTGCATAGGCTTTTGTTCATGCAGGTGAGGACTGATGAAGAGAAAGCATCTCTCTCTTCTCCTCCCTCCCTTTTTTATCCCCTGGAGTCCATTTTGTTCTTATCTGCAATTCTCCCTTCTACTTGCAAATGATTGTAAGTCATCAAGATCTAATGATGAGCCTTGGCAAATCAGGGAGGAACACAGGTCACGTCCTTGGTGACAGAAGGGGCAGCCATCTATAAGAAAAGGCTCAGCAGAAAACAACTGGCATTGTAAGACAGTGTATTGTATTGGCAAAATACATGAGTGGTTACATTCACTGTTACACAACCTTCAAGTACAAGAGGTTTCTGGTTTTGATTAGTCTAATGCTGAGCTTGGAAGAATTCCTGCAAACAGAGGTTAATGTTAACATGAATAAACAACCAAAAGGCCTAGTGTAACACAAAAGATAGTCTCATAAACTCTTCAACAAAATAAATGTTTAAGTCTATTGCTAGGTAATGATGATTGATTAAACTTGAGCTTTTATATACACACAATCCTCATACATACAGCCATCTGATACTCTTAAGGTACAGCTAATTGACACTAGTTATGAAAAGACCTCACATATTTTTTTACTCACACCTGCTAAAAGCTTTCTGCCTTTCAGCCTAGCTACCAGGAAGTACCTAATTATTTATTAATGGCCATGTTTTTACAGTTTGCTCTTCCCTCCTGTAAATAAGTGTCAGACATATTTTATTTCTTCTTAGACAAGAATAATTCTTCTTTTTAAAACAATGTTCCCATTAATGAATTACAAGAATAATTCTTCTTTTTAAAACAATGTTCCCATTAATGAATTACAATGTGTTTTCACCATTTGTTTATGGTAGTTATTGCAGCCAACTTGGCATAAGGACATCTCTGAGAAAATTGGAGAAGACAACCACTTAACAAGAAGGGGATGGGAAGAAAATAAAGGTTTGTACATTTTTTGGATCAATTTTTGTACACTTTGTAAACTGGTGATAAACTAAGGTACTGGGAATATCACAGGATCAGCGCACCTAACTTTTGTCAGGATGGGAGCTATATCAGTAACTATCTCTAAACTCTTCAGGGCAGAGTTGATGATTCCCAACCTCAACCAAACCCAGACAAGTTGTGTGAGACCCTCCATGCAGAGGGAACTGAAAAAAATCCACAGATCATGACTGTTTGAGTTCAAAGCTAAACGTAGAACAGCTCTGTTTCTGCAGATGCACAATCAGTAGATGCAAACTGAATGTAGCCACCACTGTTTTTAGTGGTAGTATAGCAAACTCACTGCCCACATTTGACTTTATTGGACCTCAATGAAAAGAGCATTAAGTCAAGATTTCTGGCTCCTACTGGAGGCAAAATAAAAGGAAGGGAGAGATTTATGTATTATGTAGCAGCACTTAGCCAGCACAGGAATAAATGCTATATGGAAAACTTAGGTCTCTGAAAAGCATGGGAGAGTGTATCCTAAAGAGTCTGTAAGTAACATGGCAATGGCATAGGCCTAGAGTTCACTGTACTTTCTTTGCTCAACTTTATGAAAACTGTCTGTCAGTACTATATTTTGTCTATGAATTTCATAAACATTGCAGAATAAAGGTTAGGTTTTTCCAAACTCATCCATAAGTTTGACAAGAAAGTCTTGCCTGAACCACCCCTCTCTCCCCCCAACAATGAATTTTCCTTAGAGAGCCCTAAAACTAGAAATGAATAGACCTTTTTCAGTTTACAAAAATCAATCTCAGATGGCTGGAAAACACATCAAGGTGAATTGCAAAGTAGAAAAATAACCATCTTATAAAAAAGTGATCTTAATGTTTCTATGTATTTGACTTTGGTAAGTTCAAGTGTGTCTCATACTCCTAATGTTCATTTAGAAATAAATGTCAAAAATTGCTGTTACAAAAGTCATCACTTGCTCTTGAAGACTATCTCAAAGGTATTCAAATTATTTTTTTTAGTTTTATGTTATTATATTTTTCAGTACATAAGCTGGGTGATCAACTGTATGCAAATATTCATTCTCCCATTTTTCTGAAGGGGGATTTCCTAAAGATTGACAATATGTTTGACATTAAAATCTATCCCTGCTTTGTATACTCATTAATCTTGTATCCTGACATTATCACAGCTCCCAGACTATGAGGTTATCGATCAATTTTAACAATAGAAGCAGCAAATGAAGATGGATAGACAAAGTTAAAATCATGCAGTTACAATGCATTTCCTATATTGTATGTATTTGTAGTAGAAATTCCCTGCTGCCATGAGAATATCTGAACAGAAAATGGATTATTTCCCTTGAAAATTTCTAGTAATGAGAGGCTACAAGAAATATTTTAATACTTTCACAACTGTTAAATTTTTTTCCCAGGCTGAAAGAGAAAATAACATTGTGTTGTCAACATGCAGTTTCTGTTTCACCATTCAGCTGTGTCTGATTCACAGACAGACAACACTTGGCAATGCTGTCATGCTCATCTGTGGCTTCAGTAGGAGGTGGTTGCAGTGTTAAAAGATTAATTTTTAGAAGGTGTACCATAATTACTTCTCTGTTGGGGCTCCATGACATCTCATGGTCCATCACAAGCCACAAAGAAGCATTTCTGTATTAGCTGTTGTAAGTCTTACAATAACTGCTGCTCTCTTTATTGACCTATGCAAGCTATTTCTCTTTTTCAACTTTGTTGCTCTGATGGTGGACATTGGCATTGCTAACACCATCTAGATGAAGTGGGGTTCTAATTCAATTGTTGGTTAATTAGGAATTCTGCAGTTCAAATGCAGGTCGTTGTCATTCTGTCAGTCACCCACTGTAACTGCACTGATTCAATGTACCCAGGAATGGTGTCCCATACTGTCAGTAATTCACCCATGATAACATGAGTTGTTCACAAACATTTAGCTTTGAATTACTTGGTTTAAAAGTCGCACGACCTCTGATTGTACCTCACTGTACCACATTATTTAATGCATAGCTTGAGGTAATGATGACTTAAATATATGAGTAAAGACATGGCTGAAGAGTCCTTCTCTCTTTAAAACTCCAGATTATTAAGATTTTCTTACTTTTTTTTCCCCCAAGGCCTCCTTACTTTAATTCAATATGTAAAATAAAGTACATTAGATTTTACTCCAATTTTCCCCAAAATTGTTACTTTTTTTACTTAAGATAGCTGCAAGGTTTGGATCATATTTGTTTAAATGGAGTATTTTTATGCCTTCATCTGAAGCCTTGCATCAATAAAATCTATTATGAACTTGGTTTTCTTTCTGTGAGGTTAGAAACACTGTGGACAGGTGGGTCTTGTTTGCTTTAGTCAGAATCAAGGTGTAAGGAAGAAATATTGATATATGAAGA